ACTCAGGTCCTCATGCTTGCAGAGCCAGTGTTCTTACCCTCTGAGCCTTCTCCATACACACACCTGGGGTGTGGTCGGGGACCCTCCACTTGACGTCCACTGTAGTGTCATCCTTTGGCCCTTTGCTGACACTTTGGGGTCCCCCTACAATCTGGAGTTGCCTCATCCTTGCCCCAAGAGGAGGGATCTAGGACCCCCACTGCCACCCCTAGGGAGGACACGGATCTTGGGGACACCTTGCCACAATGAAGCTTGGACCTCAGACATGGACTTCCAACTCTCAGGTCCACAACAGATGTGGACCTCAGATCCCTGCTTCTCTCTCTCCTTGTCACACTCTCTGGGGTCACGACCTGTTGCCAGGCTCACCTTGGTTCCTCAAGAGGGGTCTCATTTGTAGGATGATCCTGGAAGATCAGTGAAAAAAGAGTTGCCCCAAATGCCCTGTGTCACCTCTTGCCTTGTCTGAGGAAGCAGCCAGATGAGTGGCATTGGGTCTCTGTGCCCTGTGTTCCCCTTGGCCAGGCTCCATTGCTGAGTACGTGACAGCCGGGTGGCCCTCCTTGTGGTCCTTCAAAGAGATCTGAGCCACCATTGGATTTTTCTTGGCTTTTCTCATGTTTTGAATTCATTTGTTTATTTAGACAAGGTCTCACCTAGCTCAGGCTTGCCTGTCACTCACCATACAGCTGAGGATAACCCTGAACTCTTGCTCCTCATGAGTGTTGACTTACAGGAATGTGGACCATGCCTGTTTATGCAATGTTGGGGGTGGAACCCAGGACTTCATACATGCCAGGCAAATACTACCAACTGAGCCACACTCCCAGCACCCTCCAGAGTTTTAAGAGTCCAGACATTTCCCATCAAAATCCAGACTGGCAACTCTTTCTGGACTGAAACGGCAAGAGCCATCACTCTGGCGGGGCTGTGCCCTCACCCACTTACTTGCCTCACCTTTTCAAGGCTCCATTCCAGGGTGTTCCCCTTCCCAGATGCCCTGATGCCCTTCCTGATGCCTACAGGAGCAGAGCCTGTCCCAGCTGCAGGCAGCAGCCGGAATTGCTGTGTCTTGTTTTGCTCTATCTTGCATGAATTCATCCAAGTCATGAAATCCCCAGAACTGGCCTCCCATCTCTTAGTGACAGATCCTAGATGCCAGACCAGCAAAGACACATCAATCAGCACAGATATCCTGCCCCCTCGCTGGACAGTTTTAGCTCCTACTCACAAGTGCATGCTGGACTGCTTCTTTTATTGTGGTGGCACAAAGCAAGGGACCTCATGCTTGGGGACCCTCTTGAAGATTCCAGGAGTTGATGGCCCTGCCTCTCAGCTCTGAGGAATGCTGCCACACGTGGATCCTTCTTTGGTGTTCTCACACAGGGCTGGAGTTGGCAAGTGAGGATCATCTGGAATGAGTGTGCTGTCCCCACCTTGCTGCGGTCTGGGAAGGAGGGCACCTGCCATATCCTTCCTTATCTCTGTTGTATAAAAAGGAAGCTGATGCTCAGGTTAAGAGGTGTCATAGCTTCCCCAACCAGTGACTGGGATCTAAGCTTGGGCCAGGGGTCTCATGAAAAGCAGCACAGATAGACAGAATGCAGACTATGAAATTTTCAGGGAAAGCACAAGAGTTTCAAGACATTCCTCCATTTAGCATCCTCTTTGTGTTAGGAAGGGGCAGGGCCAGCTGTTCCCGCCCAGGGTTTGTGGATGGACAAGTGCTTTTGTCCAGTCTTCCCAACAGCTTTTTGTGCCACATGTTTTCTGTTTGTTTTGTTTCTTGTTCGGTGCTGTAGGGTCAAACCCAGGGCCTCCCGCATGCTAGATAGGCCCTCTACCACTGTGCCAAACAGCTCCTCACTGGGGGATTCTAGGCAGATGCTCTACCACTGAGTCACACCCCAGCCCCTCACTGGGGGATTCTAGGCAGGTGCTCTACCACTGAGCCACACCCCAGCCCCTCACTGGGGGATTCTAGGCAGGGGCTCTACCACTGAGCCACACCCCAGCCCCTCACTGGGGGATTCTAGGCAGGTGCTCCACCACTGAGCCACACCCCAGCCCCTCACTGGGGGATTCTAGACAGGGGCTCTATGGCTGAGCTCTATCTCCAGCTTTCTTCTAACTTTTTCTCTTGAGAGAGGGCCTCAGGAATTTGTCTAGTCCAAGTCTGTCTTTGAATTTGTGAGTCTCCTGAGTAGGTAGAATGACAGACCTGTGCCATCATCAAGGCTGGCTGAGCTACATGTCAACCTAACATGTTCTGGTGACCACAAGCAAAAGTTAAAAAAGAAAATTTTTTATTTTATTTTATTTATTTTTTTTTTTTTGGTTTTTCGAGACAGGGTTTCTCTGTGTAGCTTTGCGCCTTTCCTGGAACTCGCTTTGGAGACCAGGCTGGCCTCGAACTCACAGAGATCCGCCTGGCTCTGCCTCCCGAGTGCTGGGATTAAAGGCGTGCGCCACCACCGCCCGGCTAAAAAAGAAAATATTTTAAAAAAAGAAAAATAAACAAAAGTAAAGCTAACCTTGGTTATACATGTGATCTAATCTATCCGAAATTTGTCGTCTAAATTTCTAATTCCTAGAAAACTTACTGTTAGGATATTTTACATCTTGTTTTGATGTTAATTGCATTGTTTATAAAAATATGTTTTCTATTCTGGCTTTAAATTTCTTTTTACAAAACAGTCTCTTTCTATAGCCCACTCTGGCCTGGAACTCATGGCTATCCTCCTGCCTCAACCTCTGAATGCTGGGATGAAAGGCATTTCCCACCACACCTGGTGTGCTCACTCTCTCATTGTTTTACACTTAGTAGTGTGTAAGAGTGGGGTGCTTTTACACTTATTAGTGTGTAAGGGTGGGGTGCTTTTACACTTATTAGTGTGTAGGGGTGGGGGACTTGGACACTTAGTAGTGTGTAGGGGTGGGGTGTTTTTACACTTATTAGTGTGTAGGGGTGGGGGACTTGGACACTTAGTAGTGTGTAGGGGTGGGGTGCTTTTACACTTAGTAGTGTGTAGGGGTGGGGTTGCTATATTGCACTTGTGAAGATCACATGACAATTGTTGGAGTCAGTTCTCTCCGTCCATCATGTGGGCTCCGGAGATGAACTCAGACCTTCAGTTTGGCTGAAACCCAAAGGACCTACACCCATTGGGCCAGCTCATGCCCCCTTCTCCTTTCCCTTCCTCCTTTCTCACTGACCCGCACAGCCTGTGGCCTCAGCTGCCAGATGTTGGTGAAGAAGGAAACCAGGACCTCTCAGGACAGGCTCCTGCTGGGGCAGGTCCAACCTCTTTAAAGTCTAGGTAGTGGGTCCCTGGGAGAGGCCCAGCTGACTGGGCTCCCCTGCTCCACTGGGTCATCCACCAGGGAGCAGCCTTGGTTCAAGAACCGTATCTCCAATACTGTCCAGTAGGGGGCAGCCTCGACTCAGGAATGAGCGCGCGGGGGGGGGGGTCACCATTAAGCTTATCTGCGTGGCTGTCAGGCTGCTTGGCAAACTCCACCCCTGCCAGCCCCGGTCCTGAAACTACCTCCCATGCTCTAAGAGGCAGTTCCTGGTGAGGTGTGGGGTCCCCACAAGCTACACCCCTGGATTCCTAGGCCAAGAGGATCCTCTCAGCAGACCAGGTTCCTGCAGCCAAACTGGGGCCCTTCCATCCTGGCTCTTGACGCTGGCCTGATTGTGTTCCCCCATCCACACAGGCTCCCTGAGGAACACTGTTCCCAGAAGCCCTTGCAGGACTGGACCTAAGCTCACACCACCTCCATCACTTGCTATTGGGGTCACTGTGCAGTGCCCATCTTGAGGACTCCAGGGAGCCTCTGGCTTGACCTCACTCAGATCTTCAAGTCTGCTTGAAAGCTGCTACACTGTAGCTCACGGATGTCCTTTGAGCCTCTCCCTAAGGGTGACTCTGGTCACCCAGGGTGTGTGTGAACACAAAGGAACACACACAGCCCTCTCTGGTGTGACTGGCCTGGCCTCCAGCTTGCCCTCCAGCACAAACTTGTCTACATGAGGTTACAGTGGCCACAAGGACACCAATGTTTCCTCCCACATGTCTCTGCCGGGAACTCTGAACTTGAAATCCCACCTTTTCACCGTGGAACAGCTGCAGAGATCCCCTTTGAAAGTGGAGCCCCTTTGTAAAGCAAAGTCCTTCCGTTAGGGGTCAAAGCCTCCCCCAGTGCCCACTTAACATGCTGTAGAATCTCAGAACTACTGTCCCAGTAGACCCCGAGCTTCCTACTCAGAGACTATCCTGTTTCTGGAATGTTCCATCCCTTTCTTTCCTGAGCCCTCAGCTGGCTCCCAGTCTCCACAGAACTCTCTAGATCCTCCCTGGGGCCCTGAACAGCAACTGTTCTAGAAACTTCCCACCTCTCTGAACCTTACTTAGCATATGCCTCTCCATTATGCCCTAGCTTAAACTCTAACTTTTCCATCTGGGTTCTTTAAAATATTCGTCCATGCTGGGCATAGTGGCACATGCCTTTAATCCTGGCATTCAGGAGGCAGAAGCAGGCAGATCTTTGGGTTCAAGGCTAGCCTAGGCTACAGAGTGAGTTCCAGGACAGCCAAAGATCCACAGAGAAACCCTGTCTTGAAAAAACATCCTGAGCTGGGCGGTGGTGGCACACACCTTTAATCCCAGCACTCTGTGAGTTCGAGGCCAGCCTGGTCTACAGAGCGAGTTCCAGGACAGGCACCAAAGCTACACAGAGAAACCCTGCCTCAAAAAGACAAAACAAAACATGGGTGCTGGTGATGTAGCTCAGTTGGTGGAGCGTTGCCTGGCATGCACCAAGTCCTGGGTTCTACCCCCAGCACCCACATAAACAGGGTGTGATAGTGCACACCTGTGATTCCAGTACTGGGACATAGGAGCAAGCGGACCAGAAATTCATGGAGATCCTTGGCTACATAGCTAACTCAAGACCAGCCTGGGATACATGAGACCCTGGCTCAAAAACAAAAAAAGATAAATCAACAAGAGGGTTGACCAGATGGCTCAGTGGCTAAAGCACTTTTTATGCAAGTCTGAAAACCTGACTTCAATCCCAGGAACCCATGTAAAAATCTTAGAGTACTCAGCTTAGCAGAAACAACCAGAGGGACCTTGCCTCCAAAACAATGTGGAGAGGCTGGAGAGATGGCTCAGTAGTTAAGAGCACGTACTGCTCTTCAAGAGGACCTGAGTTCGACTCCCAGCAATGCATGTCAGGTGGCTCACAACCACTTATACCTATAGCTTCAGGGGATCTGATGCCTTAGGCCTCCTCAAACACCTGCCCTCACACATAACCCCTATACATGTACATACTACACATAATTAAAAAATAAACAAATACAAGTTTTAAGGTGGAAAGAGAAAACCAATTCCTGAAAATTAACGTCTGACCTCCACATGTACAGTGGTGCATGTGTGCACGCCTCCCCCCCTAGCCATGCACATCATATTGATAAAAATTTAAAGATTAGCCAGGCAATGGCACATGCCTTTAATCGCAGGAGGCAGAGGCAGGCAGATCTCAAAACAAAAAACAAAAAAAACAAAAACAAAAAAAACCCAAAAAACAACAACAAACAAACAAGCAAACACTAACTCAAAATTAAAGATTAAAATAAACACAAGAGTCATTGAACTGCCCAGCTAGGAAGTGCAGAGGCAGGTTTGAACCCAGCTCAGAAGAGTTCTCCACTGGCCACCTCTTCCTGGATTCCTCTACCTCACCCTGCTTGGCCCGGAGGCTCTAAGGAAAAACTGCCACCTGCCCAGTCCTGGTGCTAGTGTGAGTCAGCAGATAAATGGGCCACCCTTGCATCCTTCGTGTGAGACCCAGGGCCCACAGATGCAGCCCAGCAGCCTGGCTGCAATTCAGCCAGTGAGGAGAGAGAGGGCCTGGAAGATTCCTCAGGGACCCTTCAGTCCGAGCCACATGGGGCCAGACCCCATAGTGTTCTATGCACAAGACCATGTGGCCCAGGAAGGTCTCCAAGGAGAAGCTGGGGTGAGTTAGGAAGGAGGCAAGAGACCCTCCTGGATGGATGGGGAGGGACTGGGGAGAGTGTCACTCAAATAACAATGAGTGGGGGACGCCCCATGTGGGCCTCCAAAGAAGGGGTGGATGGGCTTTCACGTAGAGCGACCACTGTCCAGTTCCTGCTGGCACTGATGGCTAACACATTTCCTAACCCACCAGCTCACCCTTCTAGGACCACTGGATCCTAGCGCGTGGGAAAGTACTCTATTCCATTCCGTGGCCTGAGACACCACCATGGCTGTGCCAGCCTGGGCTCTGGGGTGCTTGCCACACACTGGCAGGGAAACAATGGCCACCTCTGAGCTGAACGTGGGTGGTAGTATCCATGGTGAGGGGCTGTCCGGGCAGGACTGCCAGCTACCCATCCAGGGTCAGCCAGGCTGTGTCCCAGGGGACAGCTTTGTCTCCTCAGCTGGACCTGGGCCCGTGCTGACAGGCTCTGAATGGCTGGCTGTCAGAATGGCAGAGGGCATGGTGAGGGAAGGGGGCTCTTGGCTGGAGAGAGGCTGGGTGGAGGGAGGGCGCTGAATGGCTTCTAAGGTCCTCAAGTCACAAGCACAGACAGGGGGATCCAGCCCGGGTCACTGACTGTTGGTGGCGAACTCCACCTCCTGACACATCTGTGGTCCTGCTCCTGATTCCGCACCCCCACCCCCAGTACCTCCCATTCTATAAAGACGAGGCCTGGTGTGCTCTCAGAAGGAGGTGGCCCCCATCTCCAAGTTCCGGGATGTTCTAGGCAGTTGGCCAGAGCACAATGGGTCCCCTCCGGGCCTCCCCTGGACTCTTGAGGTCTGGATGCTTCTCCATCCGGCCACTGCCTCTGCCCATTTCCCACTCCCTGCCTGTCCCCCCAAACTGGCAGGAACTCAGCCAGAGCCCAGAGTGACCTACCCTTCCCCAACTGTGTGTCTTTAATGTCCTCTTCAAAATAATATTTGCAAAACCTCTTATAATTCATTTATAAGAAGATAGGTAGATAGAAGATAAGAGGGGCCTGGAGAGACCGCTCAGTAGTTAAGAGCACTGGCTGCTCTTGCAGAGACCTGGGGCCAGTTCTCAGAATCCACATGACTATCTCCCAACCATCTGTAACTCTAGTTCCAGGGGATCTGATGCCCTCTTCTGGCCTCCATGTGCTCACACACAAAAATGTGCTCCGTCTCTCATGCACCACACACACACACACACACACACACACACACACACACACACACACACACACTAAATTTAAAAAGAAAAAAATGAAACTGCTTCTCTAAAATATGTATTTTTTCCAACCAAAGTCACTCAAATGCTTAAGAAGGTTCTGGAGGTTTGCTGTGGTTTAAGTCACAACCTGCCAGGGCCACAGTGTGAGCCTTCCCTATAAGAGGAGGTCCAGACCTGGGGCTTGCTATGGGTTGAATAGGAAAGGACAGTTTTGGGGACAGTTCAGGGCTGTCCCTCCACTATGTGGGTCCCAGGAATCGAACTCAGATCTTCAGAATTGGTGACAAGCTCCTATTCCCACTGAGCCATATCACTGGCCCATCCTCCTCCTCCTCCTCCTCCTCCTCCTCCTCCTCCTCCTCCTCCTCCTCTCCTTCCTTCTCCCTCTCCTTTTTTCCCTCCTCCTCCTCCTTCTTCTTCCTCCTCACCATGTCCATCCCCCATGAAGTACCACCCCACCATGACCCAGAAACAGAAACAGAACTTCAGGAAGTTCTGAAACCATGAGACTCCCCCTCACAAAAAAAAAAAAAAAAAAAAACCTTATTCCAGTAAGCTGATGGTTCTCAGGTTTCTTCTGGAGACAAAACTCTAGCGAACACAGGGCTGGAGTAACCTCATCCCCACCCCCATCACCTGCAGACGCAAGCCTTTCCTACAGTAAAAACACAACTGTGATTCAGAGAGGCCACATGGATGCCACTTCCCTAGAGGTGGACCTGCTTGGACTAACCATAACCAGGGACCTAGCAGGCTACAGGTGTGTGACTGTGGGGACATGTCCCTGAGCAGACATGGGTGACTGGATGGGCATGAGGTTGGTAGACACGTTCTTTCCTGTCCATTGTCTGAGGGACAGTGGTATCCTGGACTTCCTTGAGCAGTATCTATGTGTTCCACAGCTTCCAGGGGAGCAGGGGTGCTGGGTGGGGAAGGGCTGGAGTTGGAACTTTCTGCCCCCCTGATCTCTGCCTGCCAGTCATGGAGGTGAAGAGAGGAGAGGCCTGGAGTCTAACAAAGCAGGGTGATAACCAAGGGAAGCTCTGGAAAGGCCATCACTGTCCCCTGAACATCACTAACACAAAGATAGCGCCCCCCCCCCCCCGCCGCCATATCCCTCCCCTAGGCTCCAACTCCTTTGGCTCCTGTCCCTGTCCAGTCTCTTTCTGTTCCAGACAGGTATGTCGACGCCTCAGTCACACCCAAACTCCTATTCCCAGCAGATCCTGCCTGCTTGCAAGCACTCATGGTCCTCCAGCATCCTGGCTCCTGTCCTTTGGGGTCCTGGCCTGCTCTTCTTCTGTCCTCAAGCCCTGGGGACCTCCGTGAGTAGCTTAAATGGGGCAGGTGGGACTCGGGTCTCTTGGATGCCCTGGTAGAGTGAAGGACCCATCTGGTGCTGAAAAGACAGCTCCGGCCAGCAGGTGTCTGCCCCTGGAGGATGCTTTCCTGGAGGTGACTGGCCTGATAAAATGGGCAAGGGACAGGAAGGACCCAGCAGGGAAGGGAGGGATCTGGGCTCAGCATCCAGATCCACAGGAGACAATGCTCCATCTGACTCCACTGCAGCATGTACCACAGGGAATGTCCTCTCATACATAGCCCCAGGCCTCCCCACAAACTCCAGATTTGTAGAGGTACTTGTCACCCCATTTCCCAGAGGGGACAGACTCCAAGGTTGATTTTTCTATCTCCCCCATGTAGGAACACTTGCTGCTTGCCTCCTGGGCACCCCTCTGTATCCACAAGCAAGAAGACGCATACCCACACGTGGACCTTGGCATCTCTGCTTCTCCAGGTGCAGGTGTGCATGCACATGTGTTCACATACACATAGAAACCAGAACTTCAGTTGCTATTTTGTGGGTCACTCACCACCTTTGTTTTGAGTTCCTTGGCCTGGAACTCACCAAAAAGGCTAATCTAACTAGGCAGCGAGTGCCAAGGATTGGCCTCTCTCTCTCTCCATCCCACCAATACTGGGATGGGAAATGTGCGTCACCATATCCAACTTTTCACCTGGGTTTTAGGGGCCCAGACTTAGGTCTTCATGCTTACATGTCAAGTGTTTTACTCATGTACTGTGGCATGTGTGGAGGTCAGAGGTTGCTTCTTCCACCATGTGGGTTCTGGGGATCAAACTCAGGTCATCAGACTTAGTGGCAAGTGCCTTCAACTAATAAAATATTTTCAAATGATTTGTTTCTTTACTATGCATATAGTGTTCTGCCTGCAGGCCAGAAGAGGGCGCCAGATCTCATCATAGATGACTGTGAACCACCATGTGGTTGCCAGGAATTGAACTCAGGACCTCTGGAAGAGCAGCCAGTGCTCATAATCTCTGAGCCATCTCTCCAAAACCTAAATAAAATATTTTTAAAGTGACATTGTGGATTCTATTCTTTTTTGTTTTTTTGAAACAGGGTTTCTCTGTAGTTTTGGTAGCTGTCCTGGATCTCACTCTGTATTCCAGACGGGCCTCGAACTCACACAGATCCGCCTGCCTCTGCCTCCTGAGTGCTGAGATTAAAGGTGTGTGCCACCACCCCCCAACGTGGATTCTATTCTTAATGTCACAGACTGTTCCAATGTTCCCAGGGATACCACAGATGTCCTTGAGCTCTGGATTTCAGAATTCAATCTCAGATCCCAATTGTACCAAAGTTATCCCAATCTACCGTGTGCTTTTTAAAATGTAAATTTTTTATTTGTGTGTGTGTGTGTGTGTGTGTGTGTGTGTGTGTGTGTGTGCCTGTCATATGTGTTCAGGGGCCTGCAGAAGCCAAAGGAGAGCGTCAGACCCCTTGGAGCTGGGGTTACAGGCAGCAACGAGTAGCTGGATGTTGGGTCTGGGAACAGAACTCAGGTCCTCGCAAGAGCAGCAAGTGTTCTTAACTCCTGAGCCATCTCTCCAGCTATGCTGAGTGCTGTCATGGTGGTAAAATAGAGCAGAAAGGACAGGTGTGGTGGTGCACGCCTTTAATCCCAGCACTCGAGAGGCAGAGGCAGGGGGATCTCCGAGTTCGAGGCCAGCCTGGTCTACAGAGCTAGCTAGGACAGCTGGGGCTACACAGAGAAACCCTGTCTCAAAAAACCAAAACCAAAACCAAAACCAACCAAACAGAATCCTCCTGACTCAGCCTCCCAAAGCTAGGACTTCAGTCATATGCCTAGCATCCGCTGTATACCTGACTTCCAAATACTTTCCGCATCAGAGGGACTGCCTCTTCAGGCTCCTGCTAGAATCCTTGACCCACCCATGTTTTAAATTGAGTTCAACTTCTCATGTTTCTTGTATTGCCTGGACTTTGGGGGTCCTATTCATGAAATCATTGTCAAATTCTAATGCCCTCCACCCCACTTTTTTTCCCCTGAGAGTTTAATAGTTTTAGCCTCTACATCAAGGGCTGTGATGGCGCTTGCATTAATTTCTGCCTACAGAGTAAGGCAAGAGTCCAGCCTGTGCCCTGTCTGGGGCTGACCTGTTGTCACAGCATTCCTTGTTAATCTGTCTGAGCCTCGTTTCTTTCTCTGGCATGGGAAGCAGAGTGGCTCCCCTCATCTCCAATCTGTCATCCTCTTTGGTCCGTTCTAGTCTGTGGACTTCAGAACCGTTAAGCCACATACCCCTGTGGGAAACAACCTCCCGAGCCTGGTGTTGGTACATGGTTAGATCCCTCCCCGGTCTTACAGTCTTTGGACAAAATAGTGTTCCAAACTGCTTAGATCAGCCCCTTTCTCCCTCCCTGTTCATGAATGATGTCACACGTTTGTAATTCAATTAGTACCCCTTGTGCAGGCCACATTCCATTCCGGCTCCCCTGGCTTCCTGGCTAATGTTTTAAAAATTTGCATACAGTGAAGGTGCCTCTTTGTACTGTGGAGTTCAATGGTTTTGGCAACTGTCCTGAGCACAGCTTCCGGCCACAGAGCCGCAGAGGAGCCACTGAGGCTCCTTGTCATCCACTGTCCCTCCCTCCTGGAACCCTGGCAACTGTTGTTCTAATGACTATATTTATTTTATTTTCTTCAATTTTTTGAGACAGTTTTATGTAGGTGGAGCTGGCCTTGAACTTCCTGTATAGTCAAGGCTCACTTTGAACTGTGTGTGGAGATTACATGCTGTACCATGTCCCCTTATTGGTGGATTCTAGGCAGGTGCTCTACCATTGAGCCACACCCCAGCCCCTCACTGGGGGATTCTAGGCAGGTGCTCCACCACTGAGCCTCACCCCAGCCCCTCACTGGGGGATTCTAGTCAGGTGTTCTACCACTGAGCCACACCCCAGGCCCTCACTGGGGGATTCTAGGCAGGTGCTCTACCACTGAGTCACACCTTGCAGAGGTGGCTTATGTATCGATCCTCTTTTCATGGGCATTGTGCTTGTGAGTTTCTCTGTCCCTTCTGCGGGACATACTTGTGTGGGCCTCTGAACACATATCCTGCATGCTCGGAGGACTAGCAGTACCCACCCACTGGTTCAGAGTCACACCCCTCCCCCAACAGGAGCTATGCAGGGGGCTTACCCCGGTGTTGAGGTTTCCCACAAGAGACCTTTTTCTGCTCTTGCAATGCAACAGAGTCTGCCCCAGCTCCAGCAGCCCCAGCAGGCTACATGACCTGTCCTGAGATGTTACCTTTTTTTTTTTTCTTTAAGATAAGGTCTCATGTAGCCCAGGCTGGGCTTGAACTCCCTATATAGCTGAAGATGACCTTAAGCTTCTGGTCCTCTTCCTTATGCCTCAAAAGTGCTTAGGTTACAGCATGCAGTGACATCTGGATTGTATGGATTGTGCACTGCCTCTGTATAGAAGGTAACCAGAGAATGGTTATGTATAAGTCTGCTTTCTGTTGCTGTGGTAACACCAACCAAAAGCACCTTGGGAGAGGAATGGGTTTGTTCGGCTTGCAGGTCCTGATCACACACACTCCATCACTGAGGGGAGTCAGGGCAGGAACTTAAGGCAGGGACCTGGAGGCAGGAACTGAATCAGAGCCCCTGGAGGAATGCTGCTGACTGGCTTGCTCAGCTACCTTTCTCATACTTCCCAGGACTGCCTGTTTGGGCGTAACACTACCCATAGTGGACTGAGCCCTCCCTCATCAATCATTCGGTCCAGAAAATGGTCCAGAGATATGTCCAACAGGCCAATCAGATGGAGGCAATTCCTCAGCAGAAGGTCCCTCTTCTGTTTGTATCACGTTGACAAAAACTAATAGCTACGAGATATAATCCGTGAGTTGGGAAGAGGAGCAGACAAATGGGTCTAGTGACTCTGGGTCCGTCTTCAAGGCACTTGAACAGGGCAGGGGCAGGGGTGAGGTGTGCATATCTAAGCAGCCCGGGTCAAGGTGAAGTCTGGTTGGTCATCGTCTTGGCCCAGGCTCTGCAAAATGAGGACTAGAGAAGTCCTCAATGCTCTGGGGCAGTGGTTCTCAACCTTCCTAATGCTTCACTATTTAATACAGCTCCTCATGCTGTGGTGACCCCCGACCACACAATTATTTTTGTTGCTACTTCATAACTGTAATTTTGCTACTGTTGTGAATTGTAATGTAAATATTTTTTGGAGATGGAGGGTTGTCGAAGGGGTCATTGACCCACATGTTGAGAACCTCTAGAGCCACAGTGGTTCTCTGGGGGTGATCACAATGTGAGGCTCCAGGGCGCAGCCTCACCATCACAGTGCCCATTTGGGTGGCGTCTTGTCCCCTCAGGCTCCTGTTGCTTCGAGGTGGTTTCGTTCCCTATTTATTGATCAGTCCTGCTGTAATAAGCACAGGCCAGAGCTGGGGATGAATGCTCAAGGGGCAACTGGTGAAATATCTGGGTTCTTGAGCTGGTGAGATGGCTCAGCAGGTAAGGGCGCTTGCAGCCAAACTTAATGGCCTGAGAGATCCATCCCCGGCATCCACAAGGTGGAGGGAAAGGACCGCTCCTGCCAATTGTCCTCTGACCTCCAGGCACGCACTGCGCCTGCGTCCTCCTCACCTCACTACTAAATAAATAGGTAGATAAATAGAAGGAAAAGAGATCTGTCCAGATTCTTGTGACCAAGGACAATAAACTGCACCAAGGACACATAGTTAGAAATAGAAATAAAGAGTTTATTGAGAAGCCAGGTGTGGTGGCACATTCCTTTAATCCCAACACTCGGGAGGCAGAGGCAGGAGGATCTCCGTGAGCTTGAGGCCAGCCTGGTCTACAGAGTGAGTTCCAGGACAGCCAGGGATACACAGTGAGACTCTGTCTCAAAAAAAAAAAAAAAAAGAGCCGGGCGGTGGTGGCGCACGCCTTTAATCCCAGCACTCGGGAGGCAGAGCCAGGCGGATCTCTGTGAGTTCGAGGCCAGCCTGGAGTACCAAGTGAGTTCCAGGAAAGGCGCAAAGCTACACAGAGAAACCCTGTCTCGAAAAACCAAAAAAAAAAAAAAAAAAAAGAGAGAGAGAGGGATGAGAAAGAGAGAGAGAGAGAGAGAGAGAAACCCTGAGAATGAGAGTGGGCTACTGAGCTGAGCGAAAAGCCCTGAAAATCCTGGGTCCCCAGGTACATTGATAGGATGTTCACACTGCATCTGCCATTTTTATTATTTTACATCTCCAGTGGGCTCTTCCTATGCATGTTCTATATGATGAAGGTAAGGTGGGAAAGGATCTCCAGTCTTTCTTTGGCAACCAACTTCCTTTATGTTAATCTTATTTTTTTCTTTATCTTTTTTAATTTTTTTTTGACAGGGTCTCACTATGTAGCTCTGGCTGTTCTGAAACTCACTATATAGACAAGGCTGACCTCAAACTCATAGAGATCTGCCTGCCTCTTCTGCCTCCCAAAGGCATGCACCACTACACTCAGCATCAATATTAAATTTTACTTATTTATTGTATGTGCCTGAGGGGCTTGTTCCATGATGTGTGTATGGAGGTCAGAGGACAATCTGTGAGGATTGGTTCTCTCTTTCTACCATGTGGGACCCTGAGATCGAACTCAAGTCATTAGGTTTGGCGGCAATACCTTTAGCTGGTGAGCCATCTCCCCAGTGCTACATGTCTGACTGATATACCTTTCCCCAGTCCCTATACACCTGCCATGCTGGAATCCAAGGCAACCAGAGAGGAAGGTTAGGAAGGCCACAGTATGGCACTGACCTGGGCCAGAGCTCTGGTCTTCCGTCACCCTAGGCAGAGAACGCCATGCTGGGGGCTGCACTGTGGTCCTCCGTCACATTCCCACAGTGCCTATGTGGTCCTATTAAAATGAAGGCTTAGGGCTGGAGAGATGGCTCAGCGGTTAAGAGCACTGGCTGTTCTTCCAGAGGTCCTGAGTTCAATTCCCAGCAACCACATGGTGGCTCACAACCATCTGTAATGAGATCTGGTGCCCTCTTCTGGCCTGCAGGCGTACACGCAGGCAGAACATTGTATACATAATTAATAAATAAATCTTTAAAAAAAAAAAAAAAAAAAAAAAAAAAAATGAAGGCTTAACCCAGGCTCCACACGTAGCTGTAAGCAGAGGTCCAGTTACTATAGAGCCTGAAACAGGAACTCTAGGTCCTGGTGGGCTCTGGGGACCTCAGGCCCAAAAGGGTGCAGCTGTTCTAACCTCTGGCTGCCCAGTGGGGTGGAGGCAGATGCTGCATGTGGTCTGTGTCCACTTGCTGGGCACTGTCTATGCCCTTCCTTGCAGTGTTGTTTTGTTTATTTGTTTGTTTTGGTTTTTCGGGACAGGGTTTCTCTGTGTAGCCCTGGCTGTCCTCACACTGTAGACCAGTCTGGCCTCAAACTCCCAGAGATCCTCCTGCCTCTGCCTCCTGAATACTGGGATGAAAGGCGTGGGCCACCAACACTGGCTGGAGGAGCATCTTTGAAACTGGAGGTAGAGGGTGAGGCAGGCCCCAGCCTTCACACTCCCTCTGGTCAGCCTGTTACTCACAGGCCTGAGTGTTTGAGGAAGGGGCTGGAATGCGGGGGTGGGGGGTGGGGGGCAGGGGACGACAGAATGCTCTATCCTGAGTCTCTGAAAGGCTGCGATGATGTTGGAAAGCCGGCCAGGCTGAAAGACACAAAGGCCAGTGCAGAGAATGACTGGTGCTAAGGTCCTGGGGCCCAGCTGGGGTCAGTGTCTTCTGGGGGGGAAAGGGTGCCATCCTGGAAAGAGAGGAGGCCAGAGCTGCAGAGCCGCAGGGGGAAGGCACTGTGTGTGTGTGTGTGTGTGTGTGTGTGTGTGTGTGTGTGTGTGTGTGCGCGCGCGCGCGCGCGCGCGTATTCACAATAGATGCTTCTAGAGTCCTGTGGCCCTTGGACAGGAGAGGACTCTAGCTTGTTCAAGGCTTAATGATTTCCTTCAGGAAAGTGTTTAGTTTATTCACTTTTCCATTCAACAAGCATTCCCAGAGTTCAGTGGGGTTGGGCTGCCGCTGGAGTTAACCCTGGTCTCTAACCCGTAGACAAGAGTGGCACTTAGAGAAAACCTAGGCTGTGAGAACTGGATGGAGTCCAAGGAAGGCTTCCTGGAGGAGGTGTCATCCCAGCCAAGGAGACAAGTTACTCAGCTGACCTTGCTGCAGTGCTGGATCCATGCTGTGCACTGAGGACAGTGGGAACCATAGTGGATGTGATAGCAAGGGCATGCAGCAGGGTGCTCTGGGACCCCAGCTCCCTGCACTCCGTTCCAAAGATGGAGAGACTCAGGGGCCTTTCTCCCTTGTAGCAGGATTTACCCTCACATAATCTTCCATGCACAACTGCCTTTAACTGAGAGCCAGGGTGGAGGCAAAGAGAAGAGTATGCATGCGTGTGCATAGGTGTGTGTGCATGGATGTGTTTGTGTATGTACACATGGGAAGTGCACGTGCATATGGGTGTTCTCCCACAGATGAGTGCACTCACACAGCTTCACTGAGCAAAGATGTGTGTGAGTGTGCACGCAGGTATATGTATCGGCTCTGGGTTTCTTTGCTAGCCCACTCACTTCTGAGAAACCTTCGGATCTGTTGCTGAGTCTTTGGGGACCCTGTGGACCCGTGGCCAGGCTGTCCCCAGTCAGATACAAACCTGGCACCTTCCGGGCTTTTCCCACCCTTGCACTGTGTAATGCTGATGAAGAGACAGCGCTTTACACTGTGGGGAAACTGAGGCTCGGCGACACTGAGCAAGCAGCCAGCTCGGGTCTTGAGGTGAGGGCCTGGGACTGCAAGCAGGCACACCCGCCTTGGGGCACTCCGATCCTCAGCATCCAGGCAGCCCAAGGGGCTGACTACCTGGCCCCTAGAGGAGCTAGCCCCTTCCGCCCTTTGCACACTCTACCAAAGCCAAAGACTGCCCCAGAAAGACACATTGTGGACAGCCCCCAGCCCCTTGTGACTGACACAAAGACCAGAACTCCAAAGAGGAGGCAGGAAGGGGCCCCAGGCCAGCTGGGCCAGGACACGGACTAGGGAAGTGAGTGGAGACAGGAAGCTGCACAGCTGGAGTCTGGGCCGCCATTGTCCCACCTGGGGGTCGGCGCCAGCCGCAGCTCGCCAAAGCCTGCCCAGCTGTGGACCCAGGTGCCTCCCTAGCTCCTGCTGGCTTCCTGCTCCCAGCCTTAGTTTCCCCAATATAAGCCTTAGGGGGTACTTCAGTGCAGCTGCCCCCTCAGCACTGTTTAAGCTTCTCGGCACCCTGTGGGTCTTGGCCTCTGCCACCTTACTTTGACGGAGGTCCAGGGTTTCCTGTAGAGTGAAGCAGGGCTCAGGCTCAACCTGGGCTACCATCCCAAAGTCCAGGGCTTCACCCCCTGCTGCCTGCCTGGGTCAGCACTGACCAACTGCTCTTGACATGAGCTCTCCTGAAAAGGTCACATTCCCACCCAATGTCCTCGGGGACTGTGATTAGGTCCTGGGGCAGAGCTGGGCTCAGTGTGTTCCCAGGTGGAAAGGAAGTGTAGACAGATGGGTAGGTAGGTATATAGACAGACAGACGGACAGACAAGTCAATAGACAAGCATAAAATAGACTATAGATTGTAGGCAGTGGCGCACGCCCTTAATCCCAGCACTCACTTGGGACGCAGAGGCAGACAGATCTCTTGATTTGAGACCAGCCTGGTCTACACAGGGGAACTCTGGCTGGAAACACCTCCCTCACACTCCCAAAAAAGTAGAATGTAGATTGGAAGATGACAGATATAGACAGTAGATGTAGGTGATAAGTAACAGGTAATAAATACATGATAGAAAGACATGATAAATTATAGATCGCTGATAAGATTTACAAATGATAGATGATACTTAGAGAGATAACAGATGGATAGATGACTGACAGACAGACAATTAGAAAGAACAAAGAAAAATAATAGGCTGGGAGTGAATCAATGGTTAAGAGCACTTGCTCTGCAAGTGTGAAGACCTGAGTTCAAATCCCAGCATCAACGTAAAAAGCTGGCCTTGGCTGTACATGCCTGAAACCCCAGCACTGCAGGACAGAGATGGATGGACCTCCAAAGCTCGCAGGCCAGGCAGCCTAGCCAAACAGCAAGCTTCCAGTTCAGTGAGAGACCCTTTCTCAGAGCAGTAAGGCAGAACTGGTAGAGATAGACACCGGTCCCACTCTGGCCTCTTTATACACATACTCAGGTGTGTGCACCTACACATGTGCCACACACTCATGTATGTATGGATGTATATACATACGTATAGCTATATGTATAATAGACAATTGGGTAGATAGATAATAATTAGATAGACAGGTAAGAGATGAGTGGAGACCAATGTCATTCTGCATCTTAACATTAATACACATTGTGGAAGCTACCGGGACTCCTGTCATAGTGAACCCCTGCAGTCCCCTTGCCTGTCCCTGGGAGCTCTTGACCCTCAGGCCGGAGGGGGCTTTCCTCCAGGGTAGCCTGGAAGGAGGATTTGTGGAAGGTGCAGAGCTGGGAGCTGTAGGCTGGTTCCTGTCTGTGGCCCTCGGGGTCCTCCTTCCTTCCCTCCCACTCGGCTGCCCCGTGCCTGGCTGTCACACACACACAGAAGGCTACAGGGACAGGAGCACGTCTCCCTTCCAGGTGGGATGAGCGGAAACAGGAAGGACTCCAACGGGAAGCAGGGGGAGGAGGAAGCTTCCAGGAAGCCTGGGGCCTCTGAAGTGGTGTCTTAGGCTGGGCCAGACAGAGCCCTATGCCAACTCTCCCAACTTGGGTTCAAGACCCTATCCAGAGTCTCCTTTCTACCCTGGGACGGAACCTGGAGGGACCTGGTGGCCATGTTCCACCCCATGACAGAGTGTCCTTTGAAGTCCAACCCCAGACTCCAGGGTCTTAGGGACAAGGGGAGGGACTGGGCAGTGCCTGAGGGGACATTAGTCTCCGGAATTGCCCTAGCAAGCACATTTGTGGCTATCACAGCCCCGCACCTCGTCCCCACCTCCACAGTGTCCCCACCTCCATAGCAGCCAATACTGTAACCTGCTCATATTTTATTGAAGGTAAAGCTGGGGGTTCACACCGCGCCTCAGCTCCCCTGCAGCCATAGGGTACAGCTCCAGGTGGCAGAGGAGACAAGATGGCCAAGGCTGGCACTTGGAGGCTGTGGTCCACTCAGTAGCCCCCATCCCTGCAAGAATGCAAGGTTACGATCTTAACTCCACTCGCTCTGACCAGATGTGGACTACTGGGGGTGAGAGTGGGGGACAGATATGCAAGGCCAAGAGAGGGCAGCATGCTATGGCCATCCAGGGTGCAGACGAATAGGAGGTCCCTGATGAGGTGCATGGGGGGGCAGGGGGACACATTACCCCCAGCTCAGGCTCCGCTTGGCTAGCTCCACCTGTGCCAGCCGATGGTCGCTGAGCACCCGCACTCTGGTGATGGTGGCCAGGGGTCGGTGACGGTGTGAGAACTGGAGCACCTTGTGTTCCTGGGCGTAAATGTGGAAGTGTTCTGCGTCTGCACTCACCTCCATCTGTGGGGGAGGAGAGCAGGGGTGATCCCAGCTACTTGGCAAAGCACAATATGGCCTACCTAACCTTGAGTTCCCAGCTGGGGACCCCTCTTTTCTCAAAGACAGGGAGATTGGCAGCCAGAGAGAGAAGCATCCCAGCGAACAAGTAGGGAAACTGAGGAAAGGGAGGCCACCCAGGCCCAGCAGGGAGGCCATTGCACCAATCCATGTAAATATCCACTATAGTCCCCTTCTCCATTGGCCTTGGGTACCCCATCCCCTCATCTGCTTCCTCCCACAAGCCCCATCACCTCAAAGGGCTCTCCCAGGGTCAGCGGGAACACACTGGACACCTCCTCCTGTCCCCAGCGTCCCCCCTGGAAGGTGTTGCCCACCACCGTGGCACTGGAGAACCGGGGTTTGACGTGGAAAGCGATGTCTCCCGTGTCAGTTAAGAAGTTGATCTCAAACCTGTGGGTGAGGGGTGTGCTCAGGGTCAGGAGTGTGGCTGGAGGGTTCCGACCATGGACCCAGGAAGGGAAGGAGGCTCTTACTTGTCCTCTCCAGCATCTGCATGCCCCTGTACTGTCAGGCTCCAGCCCGGGGCCAGGCCCCCTGCACAGAAGGCTTCAAACTGAAGGGAAAACACAGGGAATAGAGCCCCATAGGGCTGCAGCCTCCTACCTCCCCTCCAAGTGTACTGTTTCTTCAGGGAGACTCACTCCCACCCAGCCCAAGGCCTCCACCTTGTTGCCGCTCTGGGTGGGGTAATCCAGAAACCTGACCCCCATAACCCCTCTCTTTGGGGTCTGAAGAGAAGACATCGATGTCCCTCAGCTCTATAGTGGGGAGCAGATGACCTGCTAGATGCCCCCACTCTTCCTTCTCCAGCATATGAAAGCGCCCATGGCAGCGGATCTTACCCACCTGCAACGCCATTGCCCTCAGCCACTGGGGAGGGCGAGGCAGCTGGGGATATAGCAGAGCCTGCTGGGGCGGGGCGCAGGAGCCCCACCTCCAGGGCCTTGTCTGGGTCACATGGACCTCTCCCCCCTCAGACTACCCCTGCTGGAGAGGGGGCTGGGAACACGGTTTAGGAGCAGATCTCTTTCCCTGGGTTCATTCTCGGCAGGGTCACCGGTCGGTCCTCTCAACAAGCTTCCTCAGGTCCACCTGGCTCTGCCACTGTGACTTTTCAGGGTCTTGCACACATCTGGGGACACACCTCCCATCTTTGTAGGAAGGGTATGACCAAGCCCCACCCCATGTACCAGAGCCCCAAACTGGCCCATCTGTCTCAAAGGGTGAGGGAGGCAAGCCCTCATATGCAACCCTGGCTGGCCTTATGGGGGTCTGTCAGACCATCCATCCACTGTCCACCACACTGGGAGTGTGTTCCTCCTCCTGTCCCCCCACCCTCGGGGCTGCCCTGTGCAGTGGCTCAGTGGCCTCAAGGGGATGAATGGAGGATTAGGCTGGGCTCTGCTCAGCACATTCCAGTCCCCAGTCTACAGATGGGGAGGTCCTTTCCCACACCCCCATGCGCCTCCTGGCCGGCTGCCTCTTAGGCTGAGCCAATAAGAGGGGTCTGCTGAGGCCCTCGAGGCCACCTCAAGGACAGAGGAGAGAAGCCCAAGTCTGTGGGGGCGGCTGTGGGGGCCTCTGGGACTCTCCAAGGAGGGAAGTTGGGCCAGAGTGTAGTTAGGCTGGGGGCCCAGAGCCTTGGAACTACTGCCTGCAGATGAGGGGTTGATGATCTCTGTCCCTTCCCTCCTGTCCCCAGGGGGTTTTTCTATCACCATTCTCCTCTTCAGGCCCTGGCAGGGCTTAGCCTCTGGCCTGCTTTGCCTCTTCCAAGGTGCCGCTGCATGGACACACTCTGGCAGGGAGTGATGGGTACCAAGGTCAGGCGGGACACAGAAACGCCTCACTGGCGGAGTGACCTAGTATTTCTCTGCACCAGGGAAGGGGCAGGGTTGGCTGTTCCTGCAGGGGGCAGCCAAAGGCAACAGAGGCTCCATGGGGTGAGCCTGCTGGGCTTGCCCAATCTACTTCCCCACACTA